GCTCTTACCTCTGGAGCAGAATTTCCAAACCACCACCCCACTGAGGTGACAGGAGACATTATATTGTAGGAGGCCCCATCCCTTGGATAAGGCGTTAAAGCGATGTCTGACTGGTTGCTTGGTTATGAAAGGTAACCCATGGCACTGCTTGTAAGAGCCGGAGTGATATTCCTTGTGTCCTGGATAATTTCTGCTCCAGGCATGCTCAGTCTTAAAGTTCCGCCTTCATTCAATTGCTGTGCAGTGGGGCTGCACTTCAGCGCTGGATAAGTGGGTCTCCATCTTTATGTAAAAGGCTTTTGGATCTTTGGGGATGAACAGTGCTGTATCAGTTCAGGAATTATTATTATTTCTGATGCTCATTGCACCACAGCTGCAGTCCTGTCCTCAGATTGTTTCTTTTTATTTCTTATTTCCCACTTTTGTGCTTTTCATTTTACTCACGTGTGTGCACACATGTATGTCTGCCCCTTTTCGCCAGAAACGTTCTGGACAAACCCGCAGTTCAAGGTGACCCTGACCGACGCGGACGACGATGACGATGATGTGTGCACCTTCATCGTCGCCTTGATGCAGAAGAACCGGCGCCAGCTGCGCAAGGAAGGGCTGGACCTGGAAACAATCGGCTTCACGATCTATGAGGTTGTCTGCTTGTCCTCCTCCCACACTGTCCACATCACACACTGTCCACACTGTCTACACTGTCCACCTCCTACACTGTCCATATCCCACACTATCCACACTGTCCATATCACACACTGTCCACAGTGTCCACACTGTCCACATCCCACACTGTCCACACTGTCCACCTCCTACACTGTCCACATCACACCCTGTCCACATCCCACAATATCCACACTGTCCACATCACACACTGTCCACAGTGTCCACACTGTCCACCTCCTACACTGTCCACATCACACCCTGTCCACATCCCACAATATTCACACTGTCCACCTCCTACACTGTCCACATCCCACACTATCCACACACCACTCACACACTGTCCACACTGTCCACATCACATACTGTCCACAGTGTCCACACTGTCCACCTCCCACACTGTCCACACTGTCCACCTCCCACATTGTTCACATTGTCCACATCACACACTGTCCACACTGTCCACCTCCCACACTGTCTACACTGTCCACCTCCCACACTGTTCACATTACACACTGTCCACATCACGCACAGTCCGTATCCCACATTGACCATACTATCGAGATGTCATCCCGCCCACACTGTCCAGTGTGAGGGGAGAGTCGTGCCCCGCCCACACGCACGTGGTAGGGGCAGGAACAGACCTTGCTAGGTCACCCAGAGGTCAGTGTGATTTATAGCTGTTGAAATATTCGAATTCATACCCCTTAACAAACCTGACAGTGTGCTACTGAGCCCAACCTTAGCATGACTGCTGACATCCCGGTCGCGAATTCCAAGAGCCAACCTCTTGCTGACGTCAAGGCCCATATTCTCTTCCAGGCCCCCGAGGGGGAGGATCA